GTCAAGATTTCTGTCTACCTACCTACCTACCTACATGTCCATGAATGTTTAGCTCCAAAGAGCAGAAATGAGTAGCTCTGTAAACTGCCATTGGCGAAAAGGCTTCTCTTTTCAAGTTATCTGTTCCATCACACGTTTGTTTTCTTTTGAACTGTCTACGTTTTCATTTAAAGTAACTTTAATAAGGAAGCCAAATTCAATTTATTGAAGATTTTCCAGAGTGAGAATGGTATGAAATTTGGGTATCTGCAGATGTGAAATAAATTATGGTGGGGTTTTTTTTTAACTGAAGTACAGTTGATTTACCATGTTACAGTTTCAGGTGTATAGCAAAGTGATTCAGTTATATAAATATATATATTCTTTTTCAGATTATTTTCCAATTTAGGGTATTACAAGACATTGGATATAGTTTCCTGTGCTATACAGTTGGTCCTTGTTGTTTATGTTTTATATATAGTATTGTTAAACTATGGGTTATTAAGTAACAATTGGAGATTGCTCTTCCAAGAACATTTACTAAATGTCTGTGAGGAGATAAAGGGATAAAGGGATGAGTGCCCATGTGGGGGATGTGAAATCACCAAAAGACTACCCCTAGAGTCATTTGTTTGTATCCCTGGGACATCTTGTTATGGAAGGAAATACAGGCCCTGGGAGGAGTGATGCTCACTCATCTATCAAGTCTAGCAAAATGACTCATACAGAGCAGGTGCTCAGCTACTACCCAGAGAACACACTAGTATCAGGTAGCTGGCGGGACAGTCAGCAACTTGGGAAGCAGGAATGAGGTGGTGCAGACGTGGCCTCTTCTGAGAAGCCTGCCCTCACTTCCACTGGGCTCCCCTAGCACCTCGGGTCTGCCCATCACACTAGTCATCTCTCTGCCTGGTCTCCCACTAGAGTATGAATTCTTCAGGCGAAGAACTGTCTTTGATCTCCACAGGCCCTGCACCCAGTCTAGTGCCTGGTCCATACTGACTGTTGTTGAATGAATGAGTGACTGGATAAAATCTGATTGGCTTGGGGAAGGAGAGAGGATTGGGTGTGGCCCATGGAGCTGTTTCAGTTTAGGTGCTGGGCACCTGAAGATGAGGGAGGGAGGGAAAGGGCTCGAGGGAAGGGGCAAATTTCGAAAAAAATGTCATGATCTTGTCCAGTGTCTGAGAGTAAGCAGATTGTTTTCTTAAAATAAACTTTTTATGGTAAAGTGTTCAAGTGGGGGGGGGGCACGTTTTATTCCACAGCTCACTGTTGTTCACTCTTGGTCTGTGGTTCCACCTTCCCCATGATCTGGTCTCCAACAAGCCCTTCTTCCCACTCCTACACGGTAGCCAATTTGAACTGTCCGGTTCCTCATACCGCCTTGTGGAGCAAGCCACAGTGGAGCCGAGGAGGCAGGGTGTGGGCACGCCACAGTCCTGAGTTCAGGCCCCACATTGCAACTTACCACCTGAGTCCCAGAGCCAATTACGTTGCTACTCTGAGCCTTAGTTTCCTCATCTAACAAAATACTTCTTTGAACTTTCGTTTTCTCAGCTTCAGTAAAATCTACCTGGGTGATCATTACAAGGATTAAATGACACAGAATGTATAAAGCCCCCAGCACTGCACCTGGCAGGTGGGAGGCACCCAGTAAGGGCTGGTGTGTCCCCTCCTTTCACCCCGTCTCAGCCTGGCAGGTCAGAATTTACCGCTAGCCTCCTTCCCCAATTCACCCCATATTTACTGATCCTTTAGGGGCCAGCTCAAAGGTCACCTTCTCCACAAAATCTTCCCTCCAGGTGAAAGCCATCTTTCCTCCTCCTGTAGTCTGTCAACTTTTTCTGAGCACCTGTGGCACTTACCACTCGCTTCCTGGTGGCTCAGTGATGGCTCTTTTATTTCTCCCCCGACTATAAGTTCCATGGGAAAACTGCTCATCTCTTAATCTTGTGTTTCAACAAAGCACTTAGCAGAATAACTAGCACATAGTCGGTGCTTAAAAAAATGAACAGAATACGTGCAGGACAATTCTATCTCAGGAATCGTCAACACAATTTCTCTTAGGATAAAGGGTGGTATATGTAAACCATCTTTCCACTGAATCCACCTTAGGGAAAAAAAGGCCTCAATGCAAGTAGCTGACCTCACGCAACATCCAGAGCATTCTCTGGAAACAGTTACAAATAGTGACCAATCCCATGGGCAGTTACACTAAAGCTCTGCTCAAGGGCTGGTCGCGTTTCTAAAACTGTGGAAAGAAAGCTGAAGTGGAGGGGGTATGTCCTGAAGGCTAGCTAGTCGGCCACTGCCCACAGCACCGCCGTCTTTATTATACTTCCTTGAATTGTGTAACATGGAAGTGATCGAAACCACAGTTACTGTTATTTTCAATGAGAGAGAGAGGCCCCTAAGAATCTGGAGAAGCCACGTGGCTGCTGCCGGTTCTGAGGCTTTTAGATGGAACCCCAGAATCAGGTCTAAGCCAGCCTGGCTTGTCATGGAGCCAGCTGCCAAACAGTATAATCTGAGGTGGCTGCACGGGGACCTCCTGTTCCAAAGCATCCTTTTATGAGGGCCCGAGAGGGATTGCTATGTGTTTAGAAAACTTTTATACCTTTCAGAGGTTCCTATTCTAGGTGAAGGATAATGACTTAACCTGCATTTCCAAAAGAGTCTCAGAAGAGGCTCCATGGAAGAGTGGGTTCTCTGACTGCAGAAGTCTGGGAAATACTGCAAACTTCATCCCGCTTTACGATTCACTCTTGTAGACGCTGCCATGCACGGGTGCATACTGAAGGCGCTGACGAGTCACGTGGTAAAGAAACCTATTTAACTTAACTCAGAAGCGTCCCATTTATTTAACTGTAAATTCAATCTTGCTTTCTTTTTTTTCTGGATAGCTGCAAAATTTCTGATGACCTCATCTGAAGCTAGTATTCTATAGAACATGCTTTTTGAAACACTGCCTTAGCTACTGTTAGCTAATCACTGTAACAGGGATACATTTTCAGCTAAGAACAGGACACAAGAGGATACGCATGAAGGGATGGCGAAGTCAAGAGAAGGATAAGGACCGTGACAGGTGACCCTTGAGGGCCCCCGAACACAATCTCCCTCTGGTTGTGCTTCTCCTTCCAGACATTATTTTGATGTTGTTTTCCTGCCTAGAAACCCAGCTGCTCATTATCAAGTGTGTCACCAGACTGGAAGGAGCTTTTCTGCATCTTCACTTGATGTTGAATTGTCCGGAGCAGGGAGGAGGAGAAAGGGAGCTCTTGGATGGCTCCAATGGATGTGGAAAGAGGAAGGAAAGGAACAGCCAGGGAGAAAAGGGCCAAGTGAGGCAACGGGGAGGCAGAAGCTGCTCTGGCAACAGGAAGCTAAGGGTGGAAGGCAAAGGACAGGATGGCATAAGGAGACAAAGTGATGGTCGTGACTGCTCAGGTACAAGCGAACAAACCCATCGGCTACCCAAGCCATGAGGTTGAGGCTGACGGCTGGGAGATGCCTGGAAAAGTGATCAAACTGTAAAATCAGTGAGTCCCAAAGCTTTGGTTTTCTGAGCCAATCACCAATAAAAATTGAAGTGGTTGGAAGACATGGACTAAAAATGACAGCCGGGGCAGGAGCCTTCCTTTAAGACACGCATTGTTCTTTCTATTCCCTTGGTGGTGGGACACATTCTCACAGGAAGTGTTCTGTCTTTGGGGGTCTCACTGCACAAGGGTCTGCACATCCCCACGTTGTTGGAAGGGCCCTGGGCTACAACAGGGCCCAGTCTGAGATCCGAACTATGGCCTGCTGCTTTAGAAAAGATGACAGTGGCTAACTGAAAGCACAGATGTAGTAGCGAAGAAGGAAGGGCCTGGGTGCTGTGCAGAAGCCAAGAGTAGGGAGGGCCTGGGGAGGGGCTTCCTCTTATTGAGGGCTGTCCCATGTTCTGCTTCCTGCATGCAAAGCAACTAGGAGATCTTTGGCAAGCTAAGGCAACTCAGAACTACTAGACGCTGAAAACAAGATATGCAGCACTTTGGGGGAATTTCTCTCATGTTGAAGGATAAAATTAGCTGATTCCCCTTCTAGGGTACCTTTTGATTTCTTGTCAATATCAGTGTAAATATCAAGTGAAAACTCCAATGTTTTCATTACGTACAAATACTATTTATTACTAAACAGGCACAGGTACGTGTGGGGTGAGATGGGGGATAGGGCAAGAGGACAACTACCTTCACAAGAACACAAAATTTTCAGACTGCTGTTCTGTGCTGCATTTGTCTTCCAGAAAAGTTACTCTGACTGGGCAAGGCTGTGTTCTGGGACAGTGCCTGGAATTTACCAGTAGCTACATTTAAAAACAAACCTCTGCCAGACGTCACTTACTCAGGGGACATGGTTATAAAATGACATGTCCAATCTCACAGAGTGTGAACCCCAATACACACAATCCTGCTGGCTGGAATGGTGGCCCTGGCTTCTCTTGGATCAGTCAACAGGGACTGGGGGAGCTAAGGACATGAGCCTACAGCCCTCTGCATCAGAAACAGGTCTCCAGCTGGTTTTGGGTCTAGGAGTTTCTTTAGATCACTCATGCATTTGCGTAAATCAGAATGTCACCAGAACATACACCAACCACCCCTCTGAAATTAAGGACATATTATAAGAAGAGTGTTGATTGGACGTGTTTCTATATGTTGTGAGCATGTGGAGGAAATAACGGTGGCACAGTGGGTGTGGGCTTGTGTTTACGCTGCTGACACCATTTCTCTGAGTGTGTTACACAACTGAGATGGTTTGGATCGTTTGAATGGAATAACATGATTGCCCATGGTATTGCACGTCTCCAATTCCAAATTAACACGATGGCAAAACTAGACGAAAATGCGGAAAGAATAATAAATCACACAATGTCACTGAAGTCATGCAAAGAGGTTAAAAAAAAATAAAATAAAATGGGCAAGCCACAGACACCAAAAATGAAAAAAAGCCAATGCATACAATTCTGAAATCATTCTTACCTTCTTCAGTCATTGTGTCATAATATTTTAGTTTTCCATATGATCCAAGTTCTACAACATCACAGTAAAAGACACAAAGATAAGGAACGAGCTGTAATGCAAGAACTTTGTTTTTACACATTCTTAATTAATCAGATTCAGAGTTATACTGTCAAACTCCGCAATCGTAACTATATAGAGACGTGCAAACATGGGCCATGTGGCAGACAGCTTTCACGGCCCGTTTTCAAAAGTCACTTAAAATATATTATTCCACCAGGGGTAGGATGTGCCCTGCCTTACAGAAGAGGACATCGTTATTTTAACATCTGATGAAACAGAATACTTGACAAAGATAGCTTCACACCAGGCCCAGCCTAGACCTACAATTTTTATAGAGGTGACCTCCGAGAGAGGGCTGCGCGAGGACAAGGTCCAGCCCCACTGAGCTTTGAAGATGCTGAGATTCCTGGCCATGGAGTTCATGTCACAGCTTTTCTCCAACAGAACCACTTCCTAGAGATGAATAAGGAAGGCTACCTGGGAAAACCCAAAATACAAAACCAGGTTCCAAACTTCCATTTCACTTCTCATCTTGTATTTCAGACAGGAAACACTGAATACCATGGTGCAGCACGCTTGGAGGGGCTGGGAGGGTGCAGAGTGCTTTGGAAAGAAGAGGGAGGCATATTCCCCGGGAAGAGCTCCTGGCCGGACAGGGGACAGAGCAGCCACAACTCCCAGCTCACGGCCTTGCCTGTGGCTGTGGAGACTGCAGGGGCCAGGGGGCAATCAGCACCCCTTCCTGGGTGCAGATCCCCAAAGGATTCGGCTGTAATGGAAACCACTGGCAGAGCGACTGTTCTGAGTCAGCTGGTGGGACTGGCCCCCCACGTTGGGGGACAGAGGAGGTGGGGAAGCACCAGTTTTGTTTTCATCCTTCAGTTCTCAAATGGAAACATGCATTCTTGTTCATCTGAAAATTCCAGATTGTTTGAAGCAACAGTGTGAGCAGGTTAAAAATATTTTTCCTGGTCATAACCATGCTCTCCCAATAAACTTCGAGAACTTAATTAGACTCAGGAGACATTCCTGTGATTCTGCAGAATGTGTCTGTGGCTCGTGAACTTGGGCAGCTACTGAAAAATCACATATGAATTAACTAATAGTTGATGGGTTTTGGGTGCAAGATGAAGCTCTAGCTTAAAACACAGTAATACTCTTCTGTTTATATTTATATTATACATTCTATATATCATCTCTTTCCACGTGCCTAAAATTTTACCTCAAGCTATTTTAACACACCAATACAAAATTATGCCCTGGGGAGAAAAATCACCTCATCTTTTTTGTTTCTACAAAAACCTGCCTACACTGGGTATTGTTAGATCCATGACAAAGGACGCAAGTGCTTCAATAAGAAATGCAATTTTGTGTAAAAACAAGAAAGTTTTTTAAAAAATTATTTCTGGGGATTGCCTTCAGTAGGAAAATTTTTTTCTGGTATTTTAACAACAGCAGTCTATTACATATTTGACATTGCACAAGTTTGGGATTTTAAAATGATCTCAATACCTTCATAAATCAACACATGTTCATGGTGGCTTTACACATAATCTATGCATTTGTGTGTGTGTGTACGTGTGCATATAATCTTGCAGTAAGTTGATGAATTGTATCAGCTAACTAATTTTTTGTAACCTCTACTCTTTTTCTGAGGTAAAGCAGGAGAATAAGCAGCTGGCATTCTCTTTATTTGCCGAGGAAACAGTGTGGGCGGCTCTGTGTGCAAAGTTGCATGTACACCATTTTCTACACAGTGAAGATACACTATTGCATTTTATGGGTCTGTCTTTTTAGATGCAACCTCTATATGCACACACCTGTTGTCATGGCTCAGTCTCAAACTGTTAAACATCTGCTTGTGGCCGATGTGATTATTCTTACCTTCTCTCTCGTGGAAGCGGGTATAAATAAATATAATCATATCCTTTAATTTATTTTTACATAGTTGAAATTGGATCTACTGCTGACTGGCAAAGCTCACACATTCTTGCTGCCGTGGCGATGCCTAGATTGTTTCTTAGCTACTTCCTGGGGTGGTGAATGGGGCAGAGGGACAAGAACTATACAGAATGTAAGAAAAATGAGGCTAAAGCTGGTGGAAGAGAAGGAATAAGAGCAGTGAAAGGCTGAATAACAACAGGTGATGGATGTAGCAACTTAAAGCACTTAAAGTGAGGAAGGAGGGCAAGGAAATAATATTTGCCCAAGTGAAGAGAACCACGTTGCTTGCTTAGTAAAGAAAAGGCATACAAGAATGTGAAGGAAACCAGCCTGCCAGAATGCAGGTGTTCACACTGACGGAGATAGGACGGTGGGACAGTGAGACGGTGAACTCAGCACTCCGATGTTTTCAAGTGGGCAGGGTACCATCCTGGGCCAGGCGGGACAGCATCTCCAAGAGCCGATGCCTCCCTTCCTTGAACCAGGGGCTTAGGGGGCACAGGAAAAGGGGTGTGACATGTGACCAGGACAAACACAATATGCATATATAAGCCAGAGCACATCACGCAGCTGGCTGGTGTCCCACTGCCCATGGATGCTCACGGAAAGTAGCCTGAGAGGCATGAATGAAAACTCACCTGCAAGGGGAAATGGCCTCCAGGAAGCACACTCCCCCTGGAGAGTAACCAAGCACCTTTAGCACCATTGGATAAGGATTCAAACTGGGCCCAATCTGAGCTGGGTTTCTTTGGGATAGGAGGGAGGGAGTGAGAGGTTCAAGAGGGTGCTGTTTAATACCATCAAGCAACTGCCATTAAATCAACTGAGCAAGAGGCAGCCGGGATTGGAAGAGGGATGAATCAGCAGTGAGTATTATCCTGGGTACCGCCTGGTGCCTCTTGTCTATAACATTTCCCTAAGAAGTCATACAGCCTAAGAATAAATCCCAGAATGCAGTGGTTGGTGTTTGAGATGAGCCTTTAAGCTGATCGAGAAAGCTGCCTAGCATGGTGCCCATACTTGCTCATGCCATTTGGACAGCTGGGTCCACAGACATCCAAGCTCTCAGATCTCTAGGAGGGGCTGAACCTTTGTCATTCTTCTGCCCACTTCCTTTCAGGCCTTGTGAACAACATCATTATCTGCTTTAAGGGACCTCTGAATTCTTGTCCATATTTCTTGGTTGACAAGTCAAGGGAAGGGTCCTGCCTTCAGTCTCAAAGAATTTGTGAACAAGAACTAGTGTTTTGGGCTCCTAACTTGTTTCTTTCTTAAGAAAGGCATGGACACAGATTTCTCCTTCCAGTATTGACTTGTTCAGCTTTTAAAATCTTTGGCATTCTCAACCCTTTTTTCAGCAAGTCTCCCCAGACCGTAGCACCATAAAAATGACCTCTCACCTTTCAGGCCTTAAAATTCTGACATACAAAACAGAAAGTCAACAGACGTATCTATGCTGAATTCATTTTATCAGAATGAAGAATAGAGGTAGAGAAATCAGTGAGCACAAGTATTTTTTATTACTTAAGTGTTAGTGGATGCAAAAAAAATACGATTAACTTGTTTATTCTCTTAAATCAAAGAGCTGCTTTATTTTTGATACTGAATTGAACTGAGTGCAAAGACCTAAAACTTAAGGCTCTCTCAATACAGAGTAGTTTTTTGGTAAAGTTGTCTAATACCTATCAAGGAGATGTGTACAGACACTGGGTTATATCGCATCCATGAAAGGATTCTTTCCAGTAGCGAATAGAAGTTAAGAACATAGGCTTTGAAGCCAGGGTAGAGGTTTGAACCCAAGATTTGCCACTTATTAGCTGTGTGTCTTTGAGCAAATCGCTTTACCTCTCTGAGCCTCAGTGTCCTCAGCTGTAAAGGGGCATAACTGTATCTGCCCCACAGAGCTGCAGTGAAGAGTAGATGAGATAATAACACCCACTAAGCAATCAATGAGCAGCTTCGTTATCACAAGCATCACCAGGAAGAGTGAAAGAGAATGTATGGGGTGTGGAATAGAACTTGGGACTCTACACAGGTTTATAAAACTAATTCAACAGTACCTATAGACGTTTTAAATAGATATTTGTTGTCCAACAACAAAAGATATTCTACCATGTCAGGGCTAGAATTTAAAATAATTTCTTCATCATTCCTGCCCTTCTAGTCTCAGAACTATGGGGAAGGTCAAAATATGGATCATAACCATTGGAACAGGATGTGAAAAGCAGCACCTTCGTTCACCTGACCACCAGTGTTCCAGCTTGGGCACCTTCCCTTCTGATATTTGCACACAATCCTGTCTCTCCAACTAGGGTGCCCGCACGTTGGAGGCAGAGATCTTATTCCTTTTTAGATTCTGCCCAACTAGAACAGTGCTTCTCTCGTATCACGTGCTCTCCTCACATTTCTTACACAAAGCATATAAATACACAGCTCCCAAATGTCAGAGAGGTTTAGGATGCTTTGGTTTGTTGAACTTCCCTGGACTTGCCAAAGATAGGAAGGCGGGCACTGATGCCTAAGGCTTCTGGACTGCTGACACCAAAATATCACTATCAAGGCTAAGAGTGCTTCAGAGTGAGACAGAGAAGACAGCTAATTGAAAGCTTGGTTCTACTATTTCTGAGCTGGGTGATCCTCTCTGAGCCTCAGTCTCCTCTTCAGCAGACTGAGGATAAGAGCAATAAACATCTATTCTCAGGAGGGTTTTTGGAGGATCAGAGAGAACACGTCTATGAAAGCATTCTACGTTGGGAGGCGCAGACATCCTTAATAATTGGTACCTCTCTTCACTGTCTGCCACTGTTCCAAAAGGAACATCTAATTCAGCTCAGCATGAGGTTGTTAAATCCTACTCAAACTCTAATTATCTCCGCGGGTCGGCACCAATGTCAATGTCAATACTTGACATGTGCAAGTCAACACCCCCCGCCCCCCGGACTTCTTCCCTTAAACACAAGTCTGTCAGAAGGAAAACTTCCAGTTTAATGAAAGGCTGTCCTGGCTAACTTCCAGAACCATGTTTGGCAGAATTACTATTTTAGCCTGAGGTAGTCTTTTATTTT